CTGTGATTTTTCACTAATTGCTTTTTCACTGTGGCAGTTTGGACTTCCGTTATAACATAAAAACAAAAACCATATACAGTGTCATTACTTAAGTGTGCAACATATGGGATTTTTTTTTTAATAATAGCACAATCAAAATACAAACAAAGCCAAAAGTTGGTGTATGTCTGATAATCATATTAGGTGCACTCAGAATGGTTGTAAGTCAAACAGCATACAGGGTGGCTCAAAAAATATCAAAATTCTACTAATATTTACTTAAATAAAATAAAAATTTTGCACTTTAAGGAGAGTTTTTTTAATATGGCTATTATCATTAGTAATGTTTTAACTTGTTAAAAAAAAAATTGCGACATTTTAAAGTTGTGTTGAATATCATTGCAACAAACATGAATTTTGTGATTCCAGAAAAAATTAAAAATCTATGTTAATTTTACAAATATGCTTGAATTTGAACAAAGTTATGTAAAATTGATTTGATTTTAATTAATTTTTGAAAGTATTAAGGGCGGAAATAAAAAATAAAAAAAAATATAGAAATTATAGATTTTTTTCGAAAGAAAATAAAAAAATCTTAGGAGGCTATATTTTGGTATTTTGGCATAACTTTTAATTCCAAACAACTTTTCTTTATAACATTCTGCTGAATTTTCTAAAATAAGGGTACTTTACAGTACCAGCTTTGATATTGTTTGAGCTACCCTGTATGCTGTTTGACTTGCAACCATTCTAAGTGTACCTAATATGATTATCAGACATGCACCAACTTTTGGCCTTGTTTGTATTTGGATTGTGCTATTACTAAAAAAAATCCCCATATGTTGCACACTTAAAAAATCACACTGTATACGAAAAATAGCGTAAAAACTCTCCACGTAGTAGAGGACCCTTTGAAAAACCCTAGAAAAATAATTAAATTTAAAAAATCCTTCTCCAGCATTATTCTTGGTAATATGAAGAGGTAGATATGAAAATTCACCTTCGAATTCTTCAGGAAGTTACATGGGTATTTAATTTCATTCTCTGACATATTGTCAACGGGATATTTTCAGTGTTGCCAATTTTAATAAATATTAAAATGCAAATAACTTTCTTAAGAATGCCACTAGATTTTTTAAAGTATTTTTCTGGGGTTCCTTGTAGGGTCCTCCACCACGTAGAGAAGAGTTTTTACGCTATTTTTTGGACACCCTATATAACTCGAGACCAGACGAGACCACTCGAGACGAGGCGAGACTTTGGTACTCGAGACCGAGACTAAATCACGGTCTCGTCTCGAGATGTCGAGACGAGACGAGACCAACCCTAAGTCTCGTCTAGTCTCGTCTCGCGGCACCACTAATTATTAGTACCTATTCTAATAGTTAATTTCTTATTCTCAAATAAACTGGGATAAAATTTATACCGATGGTGAATAAAAATAATAAAAATAATACTCTAAAGGTTAATTTGACCTTAGATGACCTTGAAGACCCCCACTTTCTTAAAACGGCGTCTAAAATTTCACTTATTCAGATAATAATATACTTATTGGTGTGACTAAACTTGATAACCTATTACCTATCATAATTACATGAAAAAAAGTCGCGTGCAGCACAGTACATGTGATAGAAGTAAATACTTATTTATCGATCTCTTTCTCTCTCTCTCCCTCATATTCATCATATGCTTCATCTCACTTGCGAGACCAAAATTTTATAAATCGTGTCGTGACGCGACCTTGAAAAATCACTCTCATGCGGCCAAAGAAGTATTCACTTCAAAAAAACTGTCAGGTTGAAATGGCCTCTAAAACCTTGATGTATACTACTTAGTAAGTTACAAAGCTTACAGATCCAATTTTCCTGTACAGGGTGTTTCAAATTCGAGCGTCATCATTGGGATCTTGGATCAGGGTCGGTTAAATTATGGCAAAGTTGCGAATTTCGATGCCTAACAAAATGGTGCTTTGATATTTAGGATATTCCGAATACTTTTGGAGGTATCCAAAAAAAAAAAGAAACCGAAATACTGCAAAATTGTTTTTATTTTTTCCTGATTTTATTTGAAGTGATTTTCCAAAAAAAAAATATCACTTCATCATAGCCACTTTTTCTCCCCTACAAGATGCTACCATCAAAGTTAAAACCTGATGTTTCGTCTTTGGGCCACTATCATTAACTTTATTTTCATAAATACGACCCTGGATATTTATTTCAGATTTTCAGAGCTTCCTATATCCCAAAACCTAGGACGTATCGCATTTATTCGAAAAACTATTTTTTTTTCTACTTTTTAGTAATTTCCTACCATTCTGTTAAATTTTCTTTTCTGTCTCTCTCTAACACATTTAGTTTTTATGGAAAGTGCCAATAAATAAGTTTTTTTGGAATAAATGCAATACGTCATTGGTTTTGGGACATCAGAAGCTCATGAAATCTAAAATAAAAGATAAGGATCCGTATTTAAAAAAATGAACTTGATGATGGTGGGCCAAAGACGAAACGTCAGATTTCAAATTTGATGGTAGCATCGTGTAGGGGAGAAAAAGTGGCTACTATGAAGTGATATTTTTTATGAAATATCACTTCAAATAAAGTCAAGAAAAAATAAAAACAATTTTGCAAAATTTCGTTTTTTTCCAGATATCTCCGGAAGTATTTGGGATATCCTAAATATCGAAGCGGCATTTTGTTAAGCATCAAATTACGCAACTTTGCACTAATTTAACCAACCCTTTATTTCTCACCGTTTCCGAAATCCCAATGATGTGACTCGAATTTGAAACACCCTGTACAGGGTGGTCCAAATTGGACACTTTCTTATGGAAACACCTTTTATTTTTAGAGATAGAAAAAAAGGGACCCCCAACTCTGAGCCTCAAATTTCATGAAATTTTGATTGGTGCAAACCGCATTTTGATATCTTCAACCGTTTAGGCGGTAGAGGGCGATTCTCGATTTTGAGCAATACTGTCAAGCCTCCATAACTTTTTTGTTTATGAAAATAATTCATTTCCGTAAAGACTTTTTGGAAGCACTTTTTCAAGCAGAATTCAGTGACGTTCTCAGTTTTTTTCTGTCTTGCTTCGATTTCGAGATATTGACCAAAATCCGATTTTTTTCAATAGGACACCCTATATATTAATAGTTCATTAGAAAGCTATGCTTTCGCTGATTTCAATGATATAAAGTTCGATAGGTTTATCTCTAACAATTTTCAGGAAAAAAAATTATTTCGGTTTTTGTCATAAGAAACAATGTGTAAGAAAGAGATCTTTCTCAGTTTCCTTACAGAGATAAAGTCCTTTTCCAACATATTGTTTCTTATGACAAAATCCAAAATAATTTTTTTTCTCGAAAACTGTTAGAGATAAACCTATCGAACTTTATATCATTGAAATCAGCGAAAGCATAGCTTTCTAATGAATTATTAATATATAGGGTGTCCTATTGAAAAAAATCGGATTTTGGTCAATATCTCGAAATCGAAGCCAGACAGAAAAAAACTGAGAACGTCACTGAATTCTGCTTGAAAAAGTGCTTCCAAAAGGTCCTGACGGAAATGAATTATTTTCATAAACAAAAAAGTTATGGAGGCTTTACAGTATTGCTCAAAATCGAGAATCGCCCTCTAGCGCCTAAATGGTTGCAGATATCAAAATGCGGTTTGCACCAATCAAAATTTCATGAAATTTGAGGCTCAGAGTGGGGGGTCCATTTTTTTCTATCTCTAAAAATAAAGGGTGTTTCCCTAAGAAAGTGTCCAATTTGGCCCACCCTGTACAGTGAATCTTTCTATGCCTTTCAAAACTTTATAATATAACTTACTAAGTAGTATACATCAAGGTTTTAGAGGTCATTTTAACATGACAGTTTTTTTTATGTAATTATGATAGGTAATAGGTTATCAAGTTTAGTCACACCAATAAGTAAATTATTATCTGAATAAGTAAAATTTTAGACGCCATTTTAAAAAAGTGGGGGTCTTCAAGGTCATCTGAGGTCAAATTAACCTCAAGAGAATTATTTTTATCATTTGTATTCACCATCGGTATAAATATTATCCCAGTTTATTTGAAAATAAGAAATTAACTATTAGAATACTAATAATGGACGCCATTTTACAAAAATCCCGATTTTTAAGGTTATACAAAGGTCACAGCTGTCTAAAACTATTTTTTTATTATTCTGCGTCCCCCAAATATATAGACTAGAGTATAATCATGCTTGTCTACCCAGAATAAAAATTGAAATTAAAAAATTGACCGCCATTTTGAAAAAATGGCGTTTTTTTTAGTACCAATGAGAAAAGTCGATGGGTCCTCGACTCAAATTGATTAAAATGGTCTAATTAGCAACTGTGCCAAATTTCATGCTTGTATCATCAAATGGCGTTTTTTTTTCGCTAAGCATCCGTACTATATGGAAAATTCGATTTTACTTATGTTACCCTAAAATATACTTTTCTATTCGCGACACTCAAGCCAATATGTTTTCTTGCTACCAACTTTGTAGATTTTCATCCTTCCGATGGGCTTGTGTGGAAAAATCGCCCAAAGTCTCGATTTTTCCTTACAACATTAGGCCCTTATTTCAAACCTTCAGCCACCTGCAACACCCCCTTCTTCGTTTTCACGAAGCCAAGATTTATTATTTAATCCTTTGGTGAACACGGACACGGACTCGGACGTCTTTCATTTCTGTTATGGAAAATCCAATTTTCCATATGTTATCCCCAGGAGCCACCCGTGAAAATACCTTCATCCTACTCAAAATCGATGTACTTTTCAACCCTCTTCGACGCTTGTATGCGAAAATGGGACACCTAAATATGTCACTATCTGACGGTCTATAACAAAAAAAATAAATATCTAGATAAATTCCTCTCAAATATTTGAAATGGATTAATCTAATTACCGAATGACATGGTGATTGATGCCATATTATAACTCAACGCAAGTACCTACCATCGCACTATCTTGTTTCGGAAATATATATAAAGAAAAAATTTATTTGCAGCCCCAGCTCAAAAGATTTGTCGTTACAAGATGAAGGTTTTGATAGCATTGAGCTTGTTGGTAGCTCTCTCATTGGGTTAGCATATTCAAGATAATTGTTTTATTTTTGTATCTTAATTTTGTATTTAAAATTTTAATATATTTTTATTTCAAGGTCACCCCAGTGTTGAGCTTAGAGCAGAATACTATCCTTCAGCCCCAAGGAATTTTAGCATCGATCCAAATTTCAGGATTGTAGGAGGCCATAATGCGGAGAGAGGCCAATTTCCCTATCAAGCATCTCTGCAAATGCGTAGTTCTGCTACTCGGTACTCCCACATTTGTGGTGGCTCAATTATATCTAAAAAGTATATTAAAACATAAATTTGATTACCGAAAAATAATAATAATATTTTTAGCTGGATCCTCAGTGCAGCCCACTGCACTCAATCCGCCGCAAGTTCGTACCGAGTAGTAGTTGGAGTTATTTTGCAAACCGATCAAAATATTCCTGGTCAGCAAATTATTGCTGTTCGGCAAATCATTAACCATCCAGGTTACCCAGGGTGAGTTTCTCAATATTTTCCCGTGCAGGCACTATTATTTTTGAAGTTCTGTTTTGCTATTTCATCGATCATTTTTTGTCATGAGGCCAAAAATGGAGTTGTATGCTTCATTTACAGCATGACGACAGACGCGAGCAGGGGTAAGATAGTGATATTATCTCTAGTGCTACCACCTAATAGGGTAAAGTCAAGATGAACTTATTATGACTTCCAGATCCAATTTTCCTGTAAATGACTTAATGGCTATAAAATTCAAAACAAAATTAAGCAATAACGGATTGAACAATAGGTATTTTTATTCTATGTTCTAACTAGTGCATTAGAAAGTGCAAGAAGGCTTTCGCTTCTTCTAGATTTTATAAATGCATATTTTTCTAAAACGATCAATGTCCCAAAAGCATTGATCACTATGAGATAGTTTTATTCTATTTATCGAAGCAAGTAATTCGGATTCTCTCATGTATAAAAATTCCCATGAGAGAAATCCAATTATCGAAAACTTACAGCGATAATTATTGTCAGGCAGGTTACAATTGGAAAACTTACAGCGACATTTTTTTGACAGCTCTAACAGCCAATTAAATTTTGTTACTTTTTGTCATGTGACAAAAATCACACAATCATTTCAACATTATAGGTACTGGAAACAGCCCGAGGGTTGTTTTCACTCTATGAAATTGTCTCAGACATTGCTGTCGAAAAAAATTCTATCCGAATAACCCTCGAACATTGATAACTGCTCAAAAATTTTATAACAACTTTCCGATGCAACTTTCTCAACTTTGTTGCTTGTAGGAAGCAGACCTCCGCCTACGGCGTCGGTCTGTTTCCAAGCAACCAGCTTTCGAAATCTGTTATAAAATTAATGTTTTCGAACAATTATCGATGTGCTTGGGTTATTACTACACTGATAATTGCCCAACAGGTACCGATAATTGCCCGGCAGGTCTTAAGTCTAATTTCGGGAAATATTCTACTAAATAGCGGTCGTGCTTGAAAATAACTGGATAATTTTGCGTTGAAGCGTGTTTTTTTGAAAAACTGCATTCGTTCATTTTCATATATTTTTTAGGAGAGCCGACACCGAAAAAAATATGATAATCAGCTAATGGAGTTTTTAGAAAACAGGCTTTCATCCAAAATTATCGGTAATTTTGATGCAGTCGTGCTATCGACCCCGACAACATCTCGATACTAGAGGCAGGAACTATGTATTTGTTTCGAGCTACCATTTTAATTTAGTTCAAAATTTTTTGTTGAAAACTTACGCCCTAGTAGTAGGTACTTGAATGTTTGACTTCAAAATCACATCCCCAACTACATAAACTCTGCATTTTCAATGTCCATCAGTGGCATCTTTGCAAAAGACAATTTTTTAAAATCAAATATGTACTTAGTATTCCCCGTTTTCTTCCAGTGGCGTTCAAGTATCTGCTGATGATGTTTGTCTAATTCGCTTATCAAAGCCGCTGAGCTTCACAGCCAACGTACAACCAATTGCAATTCCGCCGCAAGGGGCAAAATACCAAGGCTCATCAACTTTATCTGGCTGGGGACTTACAGTATCCGGAGGAAATATACCGAACCATCTTCAGTACGCTATTTTACCATTGGTTGAAGAATACAGTAATAATTATATTCCTAAATTTTTCCGATATTGATAATAAATCCTAATATTTTTTTTAGAATGTGAGAGAATATTAAGGGCTCTTCTTGGAAGCAACAGTCCTTTCAGTCCCAATCTCAACGTTTGCTCTGGAATCAGGCTTGGAGGTGAATCTGCATGCAGTGGTGACAGTGGCGGACCATTGGAACACAATGGAAGAGTTGTCGGTATTGTTTCCTGGGTATTGATGCCATGTGGTGCATGGGATGCTCCATCTGTTTATGCCAAGACTTCCGCTTACAGCAACTGGATTGTCCAACAGACTAAAGGAGAAGTTAGGCCTCGATAAATATAAATATAGTTATTTATTGATAATATGACAAATGAAAATAAAAAACATAAACATTCAAAATTACAAAAAATTATAAATTAACTTCAAGAAAGGAAATCCTGGTATGGCGAGAGATTCATTTCCGTCAACTCAATGTGTTCCTCGATCCTATTATAAATTCCTGATAGTAAATCACTTCCGGTTCGCTGTCAAGGAACAAGGAAATGCTGGTCCTTTGTGCCCAATTATACTCCACAGTTAATACGTCGATGGTATGTTTACTCAATAGAACGGAATAATTATATTTGCACCGGGAGTGATATCATTATTGGTTACTTAGCCGATATTGAATTTTACCCATTTCAAAGTCGACATTACTGAATATATTACAAAACGTAGCTTACATCTATCCATTTTTCCTATCAACATTATTAAATGTACGTTCTCTGGGCAATACGTTGGGTTTTATGGTTTCAAGTGTCCTAAAAAAAGATCCTCGTAGATTTTTAGCCGAGTTGAAGGGTAGGATTACTGAAGCTACCATGAGAGGAATCCAATTATCAAAAACTTACAGCGATAATTATTGTCAGGCAGGTTACAATTGGAAAACTTACAGCGAAATTTTCTTGACAGCTCTAACAGCCAATTAAATTTTGTTACTTTTTGTCATGTGGCAAAAATTACCCAATCATTTCAACATTATAGGTACTGGAAACAGCCCGAGGATTGTTTTCACTCTATGGAATTGTCTCGGACATTGCTGTCAAAAAAAATTCTATCCGAATAACCATCGAACATTGATAACTGCTCAAAAATTTTATAACAATTTTCTCAACTTTGTTGCTTGTAGGAACCTGTTCTGGATTAGGAAAAGAGTGGCAATTTTACGTTAGTTGAACTCGTCCAAATCGTTTATCAGGTAGGTGGCTATTTTATGATCCATCAGTATCATTATGGAAATCGGATGTCGAGATAAATATTAAATCAACTGATCTACTTCTTATAAATAGCTAGAAACTCCAAATTTGAAATTAGTTTCTGGTTTGTGCGAACTGCTTATTGGAAAAATGTCAGAAATATTAAGTAAGCGTGGTGCCAGCATGTTGGTTTGTGACTATAAATGTTGTTTCGGAAAAACAAACAAAAACAATGAGACGCTAAGTTAATGTTAATATTGCTACGAAATCGTTAACGCCAGGAAAAAAAAAACGGCGTCCGCCAGGCTGTCAAGAATCGATGGCGGAAATACTAGAATCTAGCGAATTATTCTACTTTAATCTGGAAAATTAAATTATCGTGTGTATTCTAGATTTCACAGGAATAGATTTAGGGATTTATAAGAAGGCCGGCATTGATTTGTGAGTTAAGTTTCAGTTCGAGTGTGATACGATTTAAATAGTGATTGTAGAGTTTAATTGTTGAGTTAGTAATTAGTGTCAGAGTGTATTGTTAAGTGGAATAAATTATTGCTGTGTTAATTGGACTTTGATTTTTGGAATAAACGAAACGAACGACGAACCCAAGATTTTTTTCCGGCGATCCAAAGTCGCGACAATATGTTCGTTTGTTTCTTATCAACACCATTAAATGTGCGTTTTCTGGGAAATAGGTGGGGTTTTATGGTTTCAAGTTCGGCTTTTTGAGATGAAATGTAAATTAAGTGTCAACTTACAGCTACTAGAGCAGCTCAACCTATCAATTCTTTTATCAGTATAGAAATAAATATTTTTTCAGATGACCTTTATTTATGGTTTTCAGTAGTAATAACCCAAGGACATTGATAATTGTTCGAAAAAGTTTTGAGCATTTACTAATGTTTGAGGGATATTCGGATAGAATTTTTTTTGACAGCAATGTCCGAGGTCATAGAGTGAAAACAAACCTAGGACTGTTTTCAGTAGTGATTGGGTGATTTGTGTCGCATGAAAAAAAGTACCAAAATTTAATTGGCTGTTAAAACTGTCAAAAAAATTTCTGCATGAGCAGCTTGAAAATGAGCAAGGAAGAACTTTTCTTGTCAAAATTAAAGTTCTAAAGTTTGGGTCTATTGTTCTTAATTCGTAGCAGCTGAAACTATTAACGAACTAGTATGCAACTGACGCCGGCACAAAGCGATGGCGATGCACTTGTATAATGTATAATAAAGGGTTCGTTGGTTAGTTTACATATCACTTTGATTAATAGACTGTAATCCTAATTAAATATTGAAATAGACTAAGACATTTAGAACCAACTAAAAAATTCGAGTTGGTATTAGTTTGACGGTAATTGAAATGACAAAATTTAAAGTTTTCCATCTTTCAAAAATACCCTTAGCTTTATTCCTAATATATTTATCCATCTTCTACTTTGCTCATAGTTAAATCAAGTTTCGAATTTAACTATTAGTCTTCGCGAGCAAATTATCGAAAACTTTCACAAAAAATCAAATTCCGTGGAAATAATTAAAACTTTGATAATTGCTTTTAAAATGCCTTTTGCAATTTTAATTAATCTCAAGCAGGAAGAAATAATTGCATTATTGCCGTCTCTGCTATTAAAGGTTTAGTGTTTTTTAATTTTAATATACAGTTGTGTTTTAACTAATGCTAAATGAAAGTTTAAGTAAAATGCATCCATTTACTACTGTCCTCAAAATGAAAAGAGTATTTTAGATTATTTTGATTCATGTGATATTAAATAAGTAACTGCAAACTAACTTAGCAATTGTTTTTTTTTTATCATAGTGTCTCCGTGGAGTGAAATGGGCAGACATAAATATTTAAAAAATATTGATTTATTCTTACTTAATTTCTATTCCTATTTAATGTTTTTCTTTCATCTTTGAGGTTTATATTTTTTTACTGCGAAGCTTGAATTTGTCATAATATGAGATATTTCTCTTCATTGTTTGAATATGTGCTTCGATATTTATTTCAGGAACACTTATTTATTAAAGTCGATATCTTTGACTCCTTTTTCATCGAGATTTGCTTATTTAATTATTTAGTATAATATAGTTTCAAAGTTTTCTATACCTTAAACGCCATCATACGAGTCTGCACTTTGCCAAGTTTCGGTTCACGGATGAGTAATCAACCCTATTATTACACACTTTAAATTTAAATCCCTCTTTAAACCTTTTATTATCCTTGCCTGGCGGACACTCTCTATCCCTTCTAAGTCCTCCCAGTTCCCTATTAAAACTTTGGTGAAATATTATAATACGCTTTGGTTAGTTTGTGGATGAGTTAATGCTTATATTCAACCAAGTGAAATTCTTTAGTGAAGGTAATAAAATCATCTTTTTTCGTAAGCTGTTACAATAAACAATATTGTGTGTGATAATAGTTAGATACCCGTGTACTACTCGTTTTTAATCTGACATTTTTCGTATGAGGAGCGAGGGGATGGAGTATATGGCAAAAACAGGTGTGACGTCAGGTGACCATTCGGGTTCTAATGTAGGGTGGCACCAGCTCCCATTCCTTTCGAGTATCAGATTAAAATCGACGTACTTTACGTGATAACTTGCTCAAATTAAATCTAAATAATTTGTTTTATTGACAATAAATTAAAATTGAAGACGCTGCAACTACAGCATCTATTTGAGTACCTATATCTTAAAATGAATAAATAGATAAATAGGCAAAAAGTTTTTCGAGTGAAGTTTTGTAGAGGAAACCGGCTAGGTATTTTTCTAATAGTAGGTAATCTACCAGCCACTAGACGCAATCTGACAGCATCATTTTTTTTTGAGGAAATTCAGTTTGAAATAGAGAACCTGAGTTTCTTTTCAAATTTGGTTTAAAATCACGCGAATGACACCCTACTTGGAAAAAGTAACTTCATAAACGTTTATACAGAGTGAGTTTCAAGTATGGAACGTCTCAATTATCTCGAAAACGGCTTGCAGGATTTTCCTGAATTTTGGTATGGAAAAGTATTGTAATATGGCTGGTAGTAGATCTTTCGTTTTTCGGGAAATATCAGAAACTCTGTTTTTTCAAATGGATCATCCTGTATATTATGATATTTCTTGGTTCTGCGGAAAATTCTAGACCTATTTCATGTACAATGTTATATACCTATCTTCAACTGTTTCGGAAATATTGACAGTTGAAAATTGACTTTTGCATCTTTGACCGACGGTTAAACCCAAACCTTTGATTTTAGAGCAAAACCGATCATAATTCTTATCTTTTAGTTTTTCATAACTATTAATACTATATACTATCATTTGACACCAACTTTGAATTTAATCCATGATTAAAAAGTCCGGTTAAATTTATTATCCGGTTAAATTCATAGTTGGTGTCGAATGATAACTTATGAAAAGCTACAGACGAGAATGTAAAATAGGTTTCGCTGTAAAATTAGCCGTTCAGGTTTCGCAGCCTGTCAAAGTTGCAAAAAAGTCAATTTTCAACTGTCAATATATCCGAAACAGTCGAAGAGTCTTTTTTTTTTTAGATAAAAGTCAAAATGACATTATGTTGGCAATACAATGTAAAATTGTCAATGCCTCAATTTTTTTTTATGTAGAAAAGGCTTTTGTTGCCAACATAGTTACTTACTATATTTTTGACTTGGGGAATTATTTTTTAAAAAAAAACAGACTTTAGGTATATGATATTGTACAAGAAATATGTCTAGAATTTTCTGCAGAACTCATAAAAGTCATAATATACAGGGTGATTTATTTCAAAAAACAAAGTTTCTGATATTTCCGAAAAAACTAAAGATATGACAACCATGTAAATACTTCCATATTATCGGCCATATTACGATACTCTTGCAAACCAAGATCCATAAAAATCGCGCGAGCCATTTCCCAAATAATTGAGACGTTCCATACTTTAAACTCACTCTGTAGGTCCTAGGACAGATAGACAACAAGCTAGCCTCAATTAGATTTTCAAAGAAACGACTATTCAGTTAGAAAATCAAAATTTTCCAATCCATTTGATTAGTGAAGCTCAGTTACAGCAACCTCAGATCCTGTTCTCGATCTTTACACAGATCAATAAGTAATAATAGGTATCTGGTAAATATCGGATCGACCTACTTACCCTACGATGACCCTGAACTAACCAGAAGCGTGGAGGACCTGGTGAGACACT